CAGGCCACAGCCTCCTCCCTCAGACACAGGGGTCCAGGCCACAGCCTCCTCCCTCAGACACAGGGGTCCAGGCCACAGCCTCCTCCCTCAGACACTGGAATGGAACGCACCTGCGTTCTCCTCTGTGTGCAGCGTCCTCTAGCAGCCTAGTGCTGACCCAGCCTTGCCACTGTTAGGCTTGCCCCCACCCCAAACACCTGTTGTCTCCTTCTCAGGGATCCACAAATAAAAGGCCTTTTAGTTCTGTTTGAAGTATTCTCCTTGTCTCCCTTTCCACTCACGGGATATTCCAGCACATGGTTTTCCCTTTCCACTGGGCTCTTGTGCAGCAGCCTGTTGGCACCAATTCTGAGGATGTCCTCTCATTTCCAAAGGTGGGGTTTCCAGCTTTACAACCTCTGCTGTGATTGGTCTGCTTGTGTTTCTGTCTTTGATTTTAAGATTCATTTTTTTAATTTTTAATTTAAAAAAAATTGTGTGTGTGTGTGTGTGTGTGTGTGTGTGTGTCCCATAGAGAACAGAGAGGGCAGCAGATCCCCTGGAGTTGGAGTTGGAGTTACAGGAGGTTGTAAATCACTGGACATGGTTTCTGGGAATCCAACCCCTATGTCTTAGGGTTTTGATTGCTATGAAGAGACACCATGACCATGGCACCTTTATGTGTTTGTTTGTTTTTTGTTTTGTTTTCTTGCTTTTTTGAGACAGGGTTTCTCTGTGTAGCTTTGTGCCTGTCCTGGAACTCACTCTGTAGCCCAGGCTGGCCTCGAACTCACAGAGATCGGCCTGGCTCTGCCTCCCAAGTGCTGGGATTAAAGGTGTGCGCCACCACCACCCAGTGGCAACTTTTTCAAAGGAAAACATTTCATTGGGGCTGGCTTAGAGTTTCAGGTTTAACCTGCTATCTTCATGGTGGGGAGCATGGCGGCATGCAGACAGACATGGTGCTGGAGAAGGAGCTGAGAGTTCTACATCTTGATCCACAGGCAACATGAAGTGAACTGAGTCCCACACTGGGCATAGCTTGAACACATGAAACCTCAAAGCCCACTCCCACAGTGACACACTTCCTCTCACAAGGCCACAACTACTCCAGCAAGGCCACACCCCCTCACAATGCCACTCCTTATGGGCCAAGTATTCAAACACATGAGTCTGTGGGGGCCATACCTATTCAACCCACCACATTCAATTCCCTGGCCCACATAGACTTATAGCTATAACATAATGCAAAATGAATTTAATCCAACTTCAAAAGTTCCCATAGTCTATCACAATTTCAACAATGTTTAAAAGTCCAAAGTTTAAAGTCTCTTCTGAGATTCATACAATCTCTTAACTGTAATCCCCTATAAAATCAAAATAAAAAAAATTCAACATATAATGGCACAGGATATACATTATCATTCCAAAATGTAGGAAATGGAGCATAAGGAGGAAATACTGGACCAAAGCAAGACCAAAAACAAGCTGGGAAAACTCCAGACTCTGCATCTCCATGTCTGATGTCAAAACACTCCAGATCTCCAGCTTCTCTCAGCTTTGTTGACTTCAACACACTTCTCTCTCTTAGGCTGGTTCCACTTTCTGTTAGTAGCTTTCCTCATCAGGTATCCCACAGCTCTGGTATCTCTAACATCTTGGGGTTTCCAAGGCAATCCAGGCTTCACCTTCACAGCTTCACAAAATGGCCTCTCTGTGCCTCCACTCAGGGACACCCCTGACATATGCCTGGCCTCAGTGGCTTAGTTGCAGAGGGAGATTCCATAACCCCTTTCTTGTATCCTTGACTCTAAAGCCTGAACCATGTGGCTGAAGGTACCAAATTTCCGTTGCTTGCTGGGGCTGGAACAAAGTCTCCTTGTTCAATTACATCTTCACCAGCTTTTGTTTTCCATGATTTCCTTCACTGCCTAAGCTTGGCTGTCCTTGAATTTGCTCTGTAGACCAGACTGGCCTTGAACTCAGAGATATGCAAGCCTCTGTCTCCTGAGTACTAGGATTAAAGGCGTGTACCACCACCCCTAGACCCAAGCTGTTCTGCAATTCCTTTTCACAAGTTGGAAGCTTAGCCAGGTGAGATCTTGCCATGAGGTCTCCACTCCCTTTATTCCATGTCTTAATCTGTTTATCTCCTTAAACACAGGATTTAGCTCCATCCCACTTCCTGGTTCCCCCTTCTCCTCAAATTGTACATTTTGTATTTTTCCTTGCTCAGCTTTTTCTATTTCATTATAGATCTTCATAAGAGTGAACACTAATAACCATACAACAGAGTCAATCCTAGGCTGTTTTGAGATTTCCTCTGCCAATGGAATTAATCCAAAAGCTTCACTTTAGCCTCAGGTAGACTTTTCAGACAAGAGCAAAAAGCAGCCACATTCTCCACCCAAATATCACAAGACTGCTCACTGGGCCACACACTAACATTCTTCTCCTTTGGAGCCCCTTGATCCAGGCCCCCACAGTCCACCCTCAGCACCAATGTCTTCCATGATCCAACTAACGTGGCCCAGTAAGCCTTTAATGCATTCAACTGCATTTCTAATCCAAAATACCGAAGTCCACATTCCTCCAAATAAAAACATGGTCAGACCTATCACAACAATACTAATTTCTGTCTTAGTCAGGGTTTTCTATTGCTGTTTAGAGACACCAAGACCATGGCAACTTTTTTAAAAGAAACATTTAATTGGGGCTGGCTTGCAGTTTCAGAGGTTGGGTCTATTATTGGCATGATAAAAAGCATGGCAGCATGCAGACAGACATGGTGCTGGAGAAGGAGCTGAGAGTTCTACGTCTCGATCCACAGGCAACAGGAAGTGAACTGAATTTCACACTGGGCATAGCTTGAGCATATGAAACTTCAAAGCCCACCCCCACAGTGATGCACTTCCTCCAACAAGGCCATACTCCCTAATAGTTCCATTCCTTACCTCCAAGCACACAAACACATGAGTCTATGTGGGGGGCATACCTATTCAAACCACCACACCCTATTTTCTTCAAGAACAGCCAGTGCTCTCAACCACTAGCCATCTCTCCAGCCCCTGTTTTTGTCTTCCTTCCCACACTTTAAAAATGTTTCACTGTATCTGTCTCAGAACCCAGCTGCTATAGCTGGAAGCTGATGGGAAAAATCTGATGCCTGCTGTGAGACCCAGAGACAGAGACAGGGGCACACTGAGCACCCATAATAGGAGGAACTGCTATTGAGCTCCCCACTGATAAGTTATACTAACAAGGTGGTGCATATCTGTAATACAAGCATACAAGAGGCTTGAAGTAGGGAGATCAAGTGTTCGAGGCCAGCCCAGGTTACATAGAGAGACCTAGTCTCAAAACAAAGAAACAAACAAACCGGATTTGTGGACGTACTCATAAAGGAATTATGGAAATGTCTACCATCTTTTATTTATTTATTTAGTCTTGCTGTCCTTTACTTTGTTTTGCTTTGAAACAGGATCTTATGTAACCCAGGCTGACCTGGAATTCATTATGTAGCCAAGGATGATCTTAAATCCTGATGATCCTCATGCCTGCACCTCCCAAGAGTGGGGGTGACAGGTGTGCACCTTCACACTCAACTATCAAAAATTTTTATATATCATTTAACAGATTCTAAGATACACAAAATATAGAATAAGTTACTAAAGGGAGCATTATCAAGTTCCTCGTCACAGAATATTTTTACAGTGACTCAGAGTAAATGATAGAACAACCAAGACAGAAATCAGTATGATTCAAACAGTGTAATCAGCACACTTTGCTTCCTTGGCATCTGTGAAACGGGGCATCCTTTGTCTATAGAACGTATAATCTCTCTCTCCCACACACACACCTGCCAAGATGGCTGACACTGCCAAATGTGACCAGCTCAAGTGTCAATTATACAAAGAGCAGGAATTTCAGAGAGGACTTAAAATGTATACCAATTTAGAAAGCGGTCTAGCAGATTCTGTTTGTAAGTGTGTGTGTGTGTGTGTGTGTGTGTGTGTGTGTCTGTGTGTGTGT